GCCTTTCCTTCTGCTTTGAAAACTGCCCAGAAATTGGGTAGCTTCTTTTCACAGTGTTTTTCTTTCTTTGAAAACAGGAGTGGGAGGAGGGGTTGGTTGTTGGCTTGTAGTCTTGGAGACTGAAGCCGAGGAATATTGAATGGAAACCCAAACATGAAGCTGCCTCTGAACTGCGGGGCTGGTGTGAGGATAGATCTGCAGGGATGACGGGCGCTGGCTCCGGAGCCTCCTGCAGCCAGGTGATGCAGGAGAGACCCAGCACAGCTCTCACAGGCTGCTCAAAACAGTTCACAAGTGCCATTTCCATCCGGAGATGCAGCTGGCAAAATAGGACACATCCACGCTGATAAAAGTAGCTGCAACTGGAGCAGTTTGAGACTTGACAGAGTTCTCTCTCTCCCAGCCAACACTTCCCCTCTGCTCCATGGTCTCAACCACCTTTTTGCTGAAACCACCCGATTGGCACAAGCAAGTCAAGCTCAAAGCAGCTGTAAGCAAGGTTATGAATTCCTTTCCTGTCCTCAAGAAGGGCTTATGAGCCTAAAAGTTTGCCTGGACTTTTTTCAGCTTTATTAGCCAGTTAAAAATTACCTTATCTTTCCTTACAAACCTTGTCCTTGACTATCTGAGACCATGGTAGCTACAGAAGCACAATGACTCTTTGCCAACCTGGCCATTAGTCACGGAGCAACCGGTCCTGATTCAACTCACTAAAACTCTCTTTGATTTTTCTGCATCATTTGATCTGGTCCAGACCAAGAAAAAAATCATTTTGGCGGCTCATTTCCACCATAGAAGCACTTTGCTGGATTAGAGAACTCCTGCTACCACTCCGATTCCAGCTTCTTTCCCGGTTAAGTGTCATCCATTTCCTTATCGAGATGTTTTTGTGGCTGAAGGTCTTGGAGATGAAAATCAGGAGCTTGTTCCAGGAACACCGGAGCCTGGAGCAGAGCCCTGTGTTTGGAAAGCGCCGCGGCTCGATGCATTCCACATGGACACGGTAATGCTCCGGCGGTGCCTCGTGCACGGGGGAGCTCACGCTTGTTCAAGCTCTTTCAGAGAAAAGTGATATTCCAAAGGGCATATTGGAACAAAGGTATGGTTGTAATTAGAATCAGAGCAGTTAAATCTGACATTCAGCTGGTTTATGCCAGCCCTGCCTTTAAAAGGAAGAGCATTCAGGCATTGGGTTTCATGTCTTTTTATTGTTTATTTAGCATGAATTTAATCCATATCCCTTTTTTTCTTAAGCTTAACTTTCTTTGAGTGCTTCTATGCAATTGCATAAGATGTGAAGAGCTTGTAAGTGTTCCTACAGCTGTGTGAGCTTTATATTAATGGAGCCTTTACATAATTTGGACATAGATATGTTATGTACGTGTCTGCAGTCCCTGAGCATGGCTCAGAAAAGATATCCCCCAGAAAAGAAAGAAATAAAGAAAGAATCAGAAAAGATATCCACCCCAAAAAGAGAGAAAGAAGAGCCTGTTTTGTTCCTGAGGAAAAGCGAAAACCAGGGAGGGAAGATCTGAATTTCCAGGGGGATGTTTGTGCTGCTTCCCCAGCTACAAAACTGCAGTAGGCAAATGCTCATTAGTGCAACTGGAATAATCAGTGCTCCAGAAGAACATGGGTGGTGTCTATAGGGTGCAATGCTGTGCTGATGGGGATCCCTTGATGCCACCTCTGGGTCCAGGGCATGGCCCCATGGTAGCCCCTCACTTGCCTGGGGGGACGTTGTTCTCCCTTTCCTCCTGCACCCCAGCCTGCAGCATGGAAACAACAGGCTCCAACTCTGCTTTAGCCTTTCAGGAGCCGGGGTGAGCCTCAGAGCCAGTCCTGCTCCTCCAGCCCATGATGCTCCTTCATGAGCTCCATCCCAGGCTCAAGCCTGTGGCACCAGGTGCCTCTGCTGCTTTTCAGGCCTTCAGTCACCTCCAGACCTTTCCGTCGGTCGCACAGAGCCCACATTAATGTGCCACTTTCACAAGCCGGGCAGCAGCTCCATTTGCCTCTGCTTCAGTTGGCTCTTACCCGCTGCAAATGAGCAAGGCTTCATCCACCTCCCACCCCACGGATGGTTTTACACCAACGGCCTGTCCCACCCCACATATGCAGCCAGTAACGAATTTCCTCCCTCTGCAGGCTCAGGCCATCCAGGCCTGAGTCATCCCAAAACCTGGCTCCGGGTGATGCTCTTGCAGTGATGCTGTACAGAAGCAGAGGCACCTCCACTGCAGGATGCCAAGCACAGGGTCCTGCAAACTGCAGCATTGCAGCTTTCCTCCCATTTTACTTCATGGATTTCCCCACTGAGAATGTCTGGCTAGAAGGAAAGCTGGAACTAAAGGGCTTCCAATAAACATTTAAAATTGATTTTTACCAGGCAGGGCAGGCACCGTCATGTCCTTTCTCCAGAGTATTTATTCATCCAGTGCTGATGCTTCTGCCTCCCTGAAGCTTGTGGTGCTCTTGTGACCTCCTGCCTGCAGTGGTACCAGGCTCCTGCCGTCAGTGAAATCCTGTCTGTGCACAGGAAGAATAAAATCAGTGTAATTGTTCCTGGTAGGATCACACAAGAGAAGAGCACAGAGGCATCAGGTCAGTCACTCTCTGCGGGATGTATCCCTCAACCTGCACATGCACACACAGACATTTTTGCTTCCCTCAATGCAGAAACATACAGATCAATATACTCTTGCACACACACATTCACATCTTCTCTCCCACACACTTTCTCTCTTTCCCCAGCTCTCACCCACACACAGTTTTACTCATTTCCCCCCCACCTTCTCTTGCTGTCTCTCACACACAAGGAAAACCCTCCTAATTATTTTAAGAAACAACAGCTCTACATGGAAAAGGATTTTACACAGAAAAGTAACAGTAGAGCAGAGAGGCAGCCCCGGGAAGTCAATGCCCTGCCCATTCTGATGAAAGTAGCTAATTAAAAACCCCAGTGGAAAAGCAGCTCCAGGGCCAGTGAGGACCATGGGAAGCTTAGACAGGTACAGAGCAGCTCCGACTCCCAGGCAACCAGACTGAGCTGACCACTATCTTAATCTGCCGTAATTCCTGGGAGGTCAGCTGCTGCCTCCCTCCCGCTCAGCTCCGGCTGCACGAGCCACATGAGGCTCTGGAATAAGCTGCTGTGGCAGATCCTGCTGCCCTCCCTACACTCACCTCTCCACAGCAGGTCCCTCTGTGCGCTGAGCCTGGTTGGCAAGTGGGTACACACCAACCTCCAGAGGCAAAGCAGCAGTGACATCAAGATGCTTTAGGGTTCATTTCCAAAGTTTCCAGTAATTTCCCATGGGACCACGGATGAGGCTCTTCATTCCAAGCACCTTGGTCGCTGTTGGCACTATTGGCTTTTCAGAACAGGGACTGGGCAGTGCTCAGCCCCACACTGCATAAACCTGCTCCTGCAGTAGAAATAAGTGAGTGTTGCAGCACTGTGCAGCTCTTCCTACAGCAAACTACTGTTGTCCTGTCTCCAAGTTGCTCAATTCCCTGTTTTACAGTGAAAATAACACAAAAACTTGTTTGTTTTTTAAGTTAGTAAGCTTTATTTAGGAAATAAATAAAATTGTAAGAAAATATGAATGGTTGTAATAAATACAGCACTTGTCAAAATTACACAGCCATGAAAAGCACAATGTTTTTAGGCATGCTACTCCAGTGTGGTTATGGGGATTGGCACGTTACTGGAAAAATAACTTTCTGTCCCTGACAGGACAGTTTAAACATGGAAGAGAGAAACAGGCAGAGAGAGAGCTGGGGTCTCGGATCCCAGATTGGTTTGGGTTGGAAAGGACCACCGCAAAGTAGAAGGGGAGAGTCCCCTCCCTTGACCTGTTGGACACACTCCTTTTAGTGCAGCCCAAGCATAACCTACAAGCTTGATTCGCTTATAAAAAAGATACAATTAAATTATTCATTCCTTACCTCTATTTAAAATAATAGTTAAAGACTAAACCATATCTAGTAGTTCTATTTTAGAGTGTGACAAGAATTAGGCATCAGAGCACATAAAAAGAATTAAGCAATAATAAAAAAAAATAATCAGTATTTTCTACTAAGTCACTTGCCTTGAAGGTTCAGGAAGTGACTGAACACTTGAAAATGGAGCTAGTGAGAGGTCCTTACACTGCTTAGTCTGGCTCTGAACTTCCCAGGGGTTAACAACCCCCAGAGCTCCGTACCTGAAATGGGAAAGTCAGTCGACTCCTTTGGAAATACAAGAGGTGATTCCCCCAAGGCACAGTGCAATGTGGTCACCAATTGCTGATGCAATAGAACATCTCTTTACAGAGCATATAAATATAGATCTAAAATAAATAGCACAACATAAATCATCCGGTATCAACTCCAGTTACAACTGCTATCCACAACTCACTGCTCTCAAGGTCACCAATAAGCACAGACACCCGATCTGTGCCTCAGGAGAAGGAATCTGCCCATGTCCCTGGTGGGGGAACAGCCAGAATCCCACACCAGGGCTGCCAGCCAGCACCATGCCTCCTGGGAACGGAGCTGCGCAGCCGGAGGATGGCGAAGGCTCAGCTTCCAAAACCTCCTAACGCCAGGGTCCTAGAAGGGAGCTCTGGCTGCTCTCCCTGCCCAGCACCTCAGCAGAATGACACCCACAGCTGGGCCTGGTGTGAGAAAGAACAGTGCCTCTTTCCACAAGTGCATCTGCAGGGGTGTGTGTGACTGTAACCTACATCTACAGTGGGAGTATTGGCTGGTCTGATGACATAATCACAGTTCTCATTTCCAGTATCCATGGGCAAAGTACAGGGCATGCTCAGCTGCAGCTAACTCTTAGCAGGCAGATGTTCAGCTGGTGTGAATGGATTCAGGGATTCAGGCTTGGGCTCTCTGGATTTTGTGTGCACATGAAAACTAACACAAGGTCTCAAGCTGTTTTGGTTTTCTTGTAAACTAATGAAATTCAGTGGGTGTTTTACCAGACACCCATGTTTCAAGATCTACTAATTTGTTTCTACAATGCATTTAAGGAAAAGTGTGTCTTCCTTCACATAGGCGTATTTAGGTGACTGCAATTTGAACAAAGGGAGGAACATGGGACAGCCACTTGCAATATTCATATCATTCACTGGTCTCTGAAATGAAGCAGAAGTCAAGTCTGGCCGAAACGCATCAATAATATGTTCCCTGTTGTTTTGGTCAAGCAACATGAATGTAACCTGAAAAACAGAACGTGGGAATGATGAGTTACTGAACTGAAAAATACACCAGAAAATAGCAAAGACAGAAGTGCAAACATGCTGCAAAAGCAGCTGGATGCTCTATCCATAATTAAATACAAATGATAATGAATGTTTCACAACCTGCAAGGTCAGTTACTCTCAACAGGGGAAACTGTAACAGTTCCCAGATGAAGGATTTAAAACTCTGCCACCCATAAAATAAAACCAAATAAAATAAAGGAATTATTTCTTGGTAGAGAACTGCACAGTCCAAAGACCTTTTTCATCTCTCTCCTGACAACTTCAACAAACCCCACGTTTGGTTACAGTCATTACATTCATTCTGTTAGTGTGATATGAAAAGGTTGCCCTTCTTACCTTGTTCCTGAAAGGCCATGGGAGCAAAGCATCGTAGTCTCCTTTCATGACAACAAAGAACAGGGACATGTGGGTTCCTTTTCCTGTCCCATCCCCATTCAGATACACCCTCAGACAGACCTTGTAGCCATACTTTGCAGTGTAGAAAGCTGAAAATCAGAACTCTTCATTAGTAAAGCCTCGCTTGGGGGAAAAAAGGACATAATGAGTGTTTTGGCATATGAGAAAAGATGGTCTATGACGTGTTTTGCTACCACAGGGATGAGAACAGACAAATTAGTACACTCTGGAGATTATAAGCGATGAAAATCCAGTGGTTGGAGTGCTTCTAGTGCCTCGGTGAAAATTACCTGTTATTAGCCACCACAAGCATATTTTACCTAATCAAATTACTTCTCACATGGGAGAGAACTGCAGCAGAAAGCCACTGGGTACCATCAGGCACCAGGCTGTGGGTTACACGAGAGGGATCCAGCAGATGTCACTGCAAGAGGCTGCAGGGCGGGCAAACTGCAAAGTGAAAGCCCAGAAGAGAGCACAACACTCTGGAAGAGCACATCACAACTGCCCTGAACTACAGGCAGGAGAGCACTAGGTCTTTGAATAGGCAGCATCTTAGTTTAAGGAGTTGGAGAACTTCCTGTCCACACAAGCAGAAAGAAGCACCATTCTAGAGAAAGAAGTGGGTTTTCTAAAGGACTGGGTTTTGCTTACACACATACACATTATGTGTTTTACCTGGCGAATACAAACTGACTGTTCTTCCAGTCACAGAGTCTTGTAACTTCCTGCCAACATCTGTTATTTTCCACAGAAAGACCCCATCATAGGAAGCTTGCTCAGAGAACAGAAGACTCTTACGAAGGCTGCTCAGGCCTGCGTCCTTCTGCGTCAGGCACCGGTGCAACTCTGCAATCTAGAAGAAACAAATCAGTTTGGAGTCAATCCTCCTCTGCAGGTTGTTGTGCTGCAGAAGTAGCAGAATCTTTCTGGAGTCCTCATGTTCTGGAGGGTCTCCTCTGATTTCTTTTTAAGCAACAGTTATGTGTCAAAATGAAGGCAAACAACTGGACAGATGGTTGGTTGGTCGGTCCTCCAGCAATAATGCTGCTTTAAGAGGATCAGTCAAACAATTGTCTTGCTTGCTCACAATCTGATCACAGCAAACTCTGAATGTTCAAAACTCTCAGGAGTATCTAGGTACCTGAACATGGATTGAGATGACAAATATTAGAGATCCCTATTTGAAAATATAGCCAAAGTTCCAAAAGGATCCTGCAGATGTGTCCAGAACTTCACACTTCACAGCTCAAATTCCTGTGCCCATCCCTCTCCTGATCTCTACACTACTTCTCACTGATAGATGTACATACTCGTTAGCTACAGAACAAGCACACAGACAATGCTTATCACATTTACCTTCAGTTCAAGGCCTCGTATTATATTTTGATCAAGTTCACTCTGTCTCCGAAAGGCCATGATTTCCAAGCTGGAGATCTCCACCTCTTTATTGAGCACTGCCACAATATTCTCAAACACTTGTAGCTTATTTTCTAGCTCAGAAATCACTTTCTCCCTCACAAGTTGCTGCAGAACAGATTCCTCTTCAGAAATGGAAGATCCAGGAAAACAGTCTTCTTCCAGATCCCCACAGCTTTCCAGCCCTGCTAGGATCTGCAGACTGGGGATGCTTTTTCCTGCACCATTCACATTCAGCTCTGTCTGTGGGATGAAACCATTTGCAGCTTTGGCAGCAGTGCACAAGCTTGCCTTCAGTTGCTTTATGTGCTGCAGCAGAAGCAGCATGTGGGCCCCAACTGCAGTTCTTTCATGATCCTTTATCTTCTCTTTGCTTCCCTGTGAGAAGACAACACTGTCAATACACTCTGTACAATCACCATAACTGGCCTGCTGCCAAATCAAGCAATGTCCACTTTAATTTCATGGGGAGAAACAGAGATGGAAGAACTGCAAAGTACAGGTCCAGCTACAATGCAGCCGACTCAGAGGAGACATGGGAAGAAGAGCCCTCTCACTTAGGCTATATGTTCACATGTGTACACATGCTACATAAAAAGAAAACAATTACCTACAGTCTCTGGATTAAAGAGGATTCCAGGAGGAGTCCTAGCAAGATTCTTAAATAAACCAATATTTAATACATACACTGACCGCAAAAAGTGAGACAAGGCAACAGATGCCAACTAAAATGCAAAGATGACTTTTCAGTTTGAAGAGATGTTACCCTGGAAGGAATATCCAAAATGTATCTGATAAACCAGCAGAACTGTAATAAACATCCATCTTTAGCTGTAGTGAATGCACAGTGCAGGATGCAGAGTATCAGTGGCTGAACTGTGTAACCATGGCAGTTCCACTATTTCCTCTGCTGTCTGCTAAACGTTGGTAGATTGTCCCTCTTTTCTTAAAGATCTATGTAAATCAAGGCCCACTACCCAGAACACAAAGGCTGGTTAGACCAAAGGCACAGTGCTCTTGCGCACCATTGGAGACCTTCCTGAAGGCAGCGGTCACTCACCCTAAATGAACAGCCAACCTCAGAAAAGCGACATCCATCCTTGTTAACTGAGGGTGTAGAGCAGTTCTGTTGAAAGAAAAAAGGAAAGAAAACGACCAAATATCAGTTTAAAGGGATTCTTTTATTTACCTACAAACAACTAGGCCACAATCCCAGCAGCTGTAAATCAAGTTAATTCAAGTCAAGGCATTACCACAGTTTGCAGAATCCAACTAGCTTTGAAAATACACTCATCTTTTACCTACCTTTTCTCTTGATGGTGTTTCTGTTTGCACATGGCTTTGTTCCTTACATAAACTGCCTTCACATGCATGTTCCTGTCATTAAAACAAGAAGAAAAGAATTCAGTACATTATTAAAATCATTGAGCGTCTTTTTTTAGGAGTCTCTGAAACAAAGCTTGTGTTTGGGAATGCTATTCCTAGTTTGTAGAAACTTGGGGATTTGAGAGGTTTTTCTACAGGAAATTTGTGTTACAGAAGAAAAAGTTTACAGTAAGTTTCTTGCTTTCTTCCTGGAAGGTGTGGGTTTAAGGAAGAGGAGAGGAGGGAAGGGTAACTTCACAGGAGCACTGTGAGCTCCACATCTCAGGGTGCAAAATCCCTGCCCAGAGAGTGCCTGCCTGGGGCCTCACTGTGCCACAGGTGCAGAGTTCTCTGGCTTCTTTTTAGAGGAAATAACATTCAGAAATCTGGGACTAAAGCACATCTGCTAAGAGTGGGTGCTGCTGTCCCCTGCACAACGAACTTCAGACTCAGAGGTTCCTTAAGCTAAGCCTCTAAACTGATTAATCTTCAGCCCCGCAGGCGTGCTCAGTGACAGGTCTCCAGATGCAATACCTGTTAAGTGGAAGTACAAAGTGTGATCTTTTGCTTTTGGGGCCCAGGGCTTTTGGAAACTACTTACAGATGCTTTGCAAGCTCACCCTGGGGAATTTGATACAAGACTGGCAATGTACAAGTCTTGCCCAGTAGTTATGTGTGCACACACACACACACGTACACGCATATACCATGACATGCAGGTGGATTACAGAACAGAAAGCAAATATACAGGAAATCCAAACATAAACTCTTCTTGCATTGACTTCTAGTGTGTTTAATGTGCACACCCTGCTTGCATCCTGCTTTTTACCATTTTGAAGGCTGGAATCCAAATTTTCCATCACGATGTGCTAATGCAAAATGCATTACCACTAACATGAGACTTCCTGCCATTTCTGGCTCCAAGAAGGGTAAAGTAATCCTCCTGCCATCGGTTCACACAAGTGTAACATGTGTATTTGAGACAGGAACTGTCAGCTTTCAATTCATACTGTTCAGGGGGTCTGTCTTTAATCTTTATAAACGCCTTTGCACACTAGTACACTTCCTACAGCAGTCTAGAAATTTTACATAAAGCCATTCCAACAACCTTAGAGTCTCCCCTGAAGAGTCCTGAGGTTTCTCTTTCAATCCTCAGAAACGCAGCCACAGGTTTTTGTCACTCTCTAACTCATTTTTAATACTCTGTCTTAGCTGTTGCATAAAGTATGCCTTTATTTTCTTCCTTTCTACTATTTGACTCCTTCAGAGCGCTGATTCCTTGAGGGGGAGAGGGGCTGGTAAGAAGTTCCTTTAAAACATGGAAATACAGAAATCACAAGACCAGTAACTGATTGGTGAAGATGGAGAGAGCGAGAGCAGTGCCCAAAACTTACTAGTTGCTCCCAGAGGATTGTGGCTACATGGAACACACACAAATAATCAAAATTTCTATGTCACATAACAGCAAATTTAATAACGCAGATCATGTAACCAGCAAAATTCCAGTTTCACAAGTACTAACGGAGGCAAAGAAAAATCAACATCTCAAGGCCAATCCCCTGCTTGGTTGCCAAGGTTTCCTAGTCAAATAATTAATTAGATGTTAGCTAACTGAATGAGTGGGAGGAAAACAGTTCTTCATTGCAGGAAAATGAAGCCCTCTGAGATGGATCTGTGGTATCACAGACCTCTGAAAAGACAAGGTGCTCAGGAACATCAGGCAGCTCAGGTTTCCTTCTCCAGCCTGCCTACTGCACTCACAGAAACAAGGGATTAAGGGTTGCCAGCTTCTGGTATTTACTGTCTCTCTCAAACATACACTGGATTTAGCACTGGTAAAACATGCCTGGATCCAGATACTCTTCTCTCTCTGTAAGGGTTAATAAGATACGAAGGGCACATGCAAAAGCTTCCCAAGAAGCATGTTTTAGCAAGAGTGCTGTTCTTATCCCAGAAGGTCTGTTACCTCCATGTTGAGTAAATCTCACAGCTCAGTATTTGTAAAGGCATAAATTGGTGACAGTTACGACATGCAAAGCTATCCACTACTATTAACTTCAGGCTGCACACATACAGGGGTATACGCACATTCATTTTGCAAGTCCCTGTCACAAGAGTGGAAAACACAACTTAAACGTAAAAAGTATAAACTAAACATGTTTAAACAGTCAGTGAGCAATGTGCAGCAGATCCAGAGTGTGCTCTTCCTGATCTATATGGACACTGCTGCTAATTTGGTGAGTTACACCTGACCACATCTAACAGAAATACTGTCTGATAGAATCCTGCCTTACAAATCTGTGGGCAGTTTAAGTTCAAATAAAACTCCAGCCACTTTCAAGGTCTCTTCCCATCACCTGTGTTGTTCTGCTTCTTATCTGCCTCATAGTAGGACACATGCTTTAAGACAGGAGCTAAAACACAGGCTGCACAAGCCCAGGGTGGGCACACAGATGTTTCCCTCTCTCTTGTAACGTCACAAGCAGACTATCAAATACAGCTCATTTTTTCCTCCAACACATGCATGGAAAAATTAGCACACTCAGGAAAATTAAATATTCTCCAAGTGCAGTAGCAGGGGATGAAAGATGTCATGATAGATTATTTAAGCCATTAATACAAAGCCCTCATTTGAAACAGAGAAGTGTTCTTACTTGGTATTCACTACTGGATAAGCTCTGCTTACACCTCTGACACGTTGTCACGTTATTAACACATCCATTTTCCAAATGATCTGCAAGTTTCTTTCTCATCACCACGTGCCCACAACCAGTGTGACAAGGGATTAAAGCATATTCACATAAGCTCTGATGCTCCTGAAAATAAAAAGTAATAAACCAAAACGTAAACTGCAGATATGCATTCACTTACAAATAGTCTCCATTCTGCCAGCCTAGATCTTTGCTTTGTGTTTCTTCTAAGCTTGAGTAAAGACCCACTCCATGATGTTACTCAGATTACTGGTGAAAAAAAATCACCTATTTTACTGGGGCTTTCTTCTTAATTCCTAAGTTAAAAAAACCCCAAACCAACCAACCAACCAACAAGATTTGCTTATTTCAGATACCTTGAACTGTGTCTCTGTAGTGCTTGTGTTGGAAAATAACATGATCCTGGTCTAGCTGTTTTAATTGTATTAGAGGATCCCTAACTTTTAGCCTGGGTTTTTTCTGAGGTGGTTTTGGAGGTGCTTTGGGTGGGGGGTTTAACCACTGAGACCATCGTGCTTTGTCTGATAGAATGGATATGGTTAGTCTGCTGATACCTCTGCACAGCATCTTACACCTCTGTTACACAATTGTTATTGTTGCATATAACTATATTCAAAATAACTCTTAAAATGTTTCCTTTACACTATTTGCATCATATCATCTCGACAAGGAAAAATATCAGCATTACTTCTTTCATAACTACATCCAACAGGTCTACACAGTCTTTCAATAAGAACTATTTACCCTGACCTCTGTTACTAGAGCTTCTCCAGGCCCCGTGTCACAACTGATTTTGTCTTTACAGGGAGATGGCTGTCCCCTACAGACCAGGCTCAGAAATGCCAATTTCAATCACACGCCCAACTCTCGGATCAATTTTACCATGTATTCATGCTGAGAGGGGCTCCAATTCTCCAAACTATGAAGCTAACCAAAGTGGGTAGATTTTTTCCTTAAAGAGGAATAGACTCACATAGAAAATGTGTGCATAATTAGCAAAGAAAAGGCAGCAGCACCTCAGATGCTTCTCAGATAGAGAGTTATACGAGGTATACAGCAGACTACCTGTTATGAATGCAGAAAGACCCTCTGTTCCCACATCTATTCTACGTAGGGCATTTCACATCAGTCTGCTCTCAATTTGGTCTAAGCCTTACTAAAGTTAATGGCATGTTTTTAGGTACTTTGTTAGTATAAATCCTGGTGCCTTGATTGCTTCTACTGATACTGCATTGATATGTGCTTGCTGAGAACCTAGTTTCATTGTCTTCCTGTCCCCATTCATGTCAGAGTGCACTTAAACAAATTGCCTTTAAACATACTTCAAAGTTTTTCATGATACCAGACCAGCTGCATCCCAGGGTCACACAGTGTACTCTCAGTTCAGAAATCTCTTTATTAATAGCAGCATCACCAAATGCCTGGAAAGAAAACACAGGAAGGGAAAAAGCACTGGTCAGAAGGTACTCCAGCATGCATTTCTGACATAGGAATGAGGTGACTGTGTCAAAATTTCAGATCTTGATAAATCCCTTATTTCTTTAACATTTGCTGTACTGCCATAAGGCTCTCTAACCCAGAAAGTCCATCTTAGTGCAGTAGAAGCCCAAATAATTGCTAAATAGTTTCCTTCTTATGGTTCAAAATGAAACTGTTTGATGTAATTTAAATTTACTGAAAATATTCCAAGCCAAGTACAGCCATTATTTTAAGTTCCTTTTCATAGAAGCCTGAAATATATCACATGCAATGAATGTGCTGACAGGACCCTAACCATAGGGTGCTGCCATGTGCCACTGTTAATGAATGCATTTCATTATCGGGGTCATTAACACCTCCTAAATGTGCTGCACAGAAGACTTGAGAGTGTTCTGCAGTGAGGACACATTTCTCAGGCAATGGCTATTTCCATTTACTATGGCACTGTGCACTAAAGAAATGTAAACCATATGTGAGTGGGGTTTTTTGCTCTACGTAGATTGGTTTTGCTATGTTAACCATGAAAAAATGTACAATTCTTATGTAAATTATGAAACACTGCACACTTCAAACACTACAACTTGCACAATCCCAATAGGCACACTGACACAAGAACAAGCCCTGCTAAAGTTAATGGTATGGTTTTAGATGCTCTCTTGGTAAGTACACAACACCGAGGACTGCAGATTTCCCAACAGAGAGAAGGCAAGAACTGGGCAGAGGGAACCTTTGCAAATAGAGCAAGGAAAGGATTTACAAATGATGCCCCATTTCAATGAAGTGACTGAAATTCCACAAAATGAGCTAAAACAAATAAACAAAATCATCAGCTTCAACATTCCTGGTTGGTTGGGGTTTTTTTTTCATCTAGATACAATATGTTTGTACACACGTAACATGATGTTACCTACATCTATCATTAAATCACAGAACAGAAGCGTAGCAAATGCTAAAAGTGGTAAGAAGATACATTTCTATATGCAGGGTCTCACAGAAACTCATTTCCTAATCTCAACCTGCAAGGAAAGTCCAGAACTTTGCACACAAATTGCAAACAAGGAATTTAAACATAATGATGTAGGTTGTACACAGCCATGTACAGCTCCATCTGCATACAGGGAAGAGTTTCTGTAGTAAGCTAATAATCCGTGGACAATTAGTGAAAGGAGGCCAGCCCCAGCCTCTGAAACAGTCTACTCTAATTTATGAGCAAAATCAAAGAAAAGAAATTCAAGTTATCAGGCACGTGGTGGCTTTTCCCCCTTTGTCATAAGAGAAAAACTCCAGGAATTTCCTGACATTACAAAATAGATAATTTAAAATACATTTCACTACGGGGACAGTCCCAGCAGTGCACGTGTCTCTTACTGCTATGTGCATTCCCTTGTGCTTTTTGGTACACACTTGTAGTTGTTAAATCATTATGGACACTACTCAGGTGCAAAACAAGGAAGGAAATACTCGGCTTTGGAATTCCACTGCTTTGGAATAGTCACCCAAACCTCCGGGAACCTGAGTGTGCACAGAACTCCTTTAGGGACCTGCGCCAGACCTTCATACAGTAACTGAGGTGACTCTTGGGGACATAAAAGTGCTCTGGGTCAAACAGAAGGAAACAGAATATTTGATTTGATGTATTGCAGTTGCACATCTCCCCTTTTTCATGTCAAAGGAAGATGTTGGTGCAGGTGCTGCTGATGTTGACCACGGGTGGCTGTCATGGCACACACACCTGACCAGACCTGCCTGTCACACAAATGGAGGTCCCCTGCCAAGTCCCATCCAAAAACCACTCCCATATGTAGTTCTCCTTGGCACTCTGACCCATACGATGTGGGTCTTATGGCTTCTGGCTAAGGCAGGACTTTGGTCTACATGTGGCCAGGACCATCAGCTAGGAACAAGTTAACAAACAGATCAATCTGACCAAAAGCTTTCCAGGATAAATCCAGTGTTTTTTTTCTCTCCAGCTAAAGTTGGCCCTCTGCAGCTGAACCAGGACCTATGGCTGCTGTAAACACAGAGAGGGGAGAGCCACAAAGTGGTTCATGTTCAGTTCAGAGCAGGACACTGTCCTCTAAGCCAGGCCCATGAATGTCAGTGCCAGGGTGTGATGCCCTACTCCTCTGATTGCACTGACAGATGCAGACGCTCAGTAGCTGACACTGATGAACAGCACCACGATAAGGCTTGAAGTAATGTTGCATAGGAAGGGATTATAAATCAAGACTGTAACAGGGAGGGATGGAAGTGACTATGGAAATAGATCATGGGATAAGCTAAGGCAAACACACATCTTGATAAAGCCTTTCTTTTCCTTGCATAGGTATCTTATTTAAAATATAAACATGCAAACAGCATGGGAAATAAACATTAAACAAACCCACAGCAAAGGCAAAGCACAGATTATCAGGAATAGATACAAAGAATAAAGCTGCCATTATTCATGTTGTTTACAAACTCAGACAACTTGCTGTAAGTTGATCTACACAGGCAGATCCTCCTGCCTTCGTGGTGATTGACTTCATCTGGACACTCAGCAGGCATAAGAATCTGCCCAGGCAGATCAGCTTGCAAGAGTGGGGCCCTGTTTACAACAACCCACACACAGATTGTGCAGAAAGTCCCAGCGGACCCAGCGAGAATCCCACAGCAGAGAAATCCCAGAGTTGTAAGAGAACTGAGAGTCAACACAGAAGTTCACAAGGGTTTAACTGTACCTATTTTTGGTTCCATGATGCATGAAATTTTGTCACTGGGAAACTTATTGCAGAATTGAGGATTTTTTTCTGAGCTATTCACTGTTAACTGCAGGTTCATTATTTTGCTGCAGCCACTTCCTGAACTTCATCTTTTACCTCACTGCTTATTTGCTTCCATTTTCCCCTAAAACATTTAGACAGAGTGTGTGTCTCTTGGTATTCCTACACATAATCAGAAAGGAGGGAAAAAGATAAGCTGGGAGTGGGTATTATGGCTCAGTTTGTATTCAGGATACAGAACAGTGCAGCAGTTGGCCTGGAAAATCACACAAGAGCAGAAGAGATCTGCATGGTGAAATTACAGATGAAACATTTGCCTATGCCTAGTTTTGATCAATCATGTTCAGTTCCGTGTTTTCCACCATTTCTTCCAGGTACTCTGGCTGTCTTTTTAGGCAATTCGGCCAGCTGGCTGATACTCTTAACTTTTCTCCTTAGGGATGCTCCACCTGTAAGCTTGGTAATATATTTGAAGGGTACTGAGAACCACTAGATTGGAAAATCCTCTAAGTGTAGTAAGTAACAGCTAAAGACGTATTATTACAAGTAGGAAAGCACTGGTTAATTTGAGACAATAAAAAATTAATGATATGGAAGTGTGTGGGATTTTATGTTGCAGAACCTGACAGATTTGGGAAGTCCTAAGGCTGCCATTATACTTCTTTAAATCAAAACCTGGGAAATCCACACGACTAAAGCATAAATTAAAATGTGTAACTATCAGTTGCTATCACATTTTTTATTACTCACTTCCAAAGTGTGGGCCAATGATGACTACAGAGTAGACCAGAGAATGTTTAATGATACATTAGTGAACTACAACTTACCCTTTCTTCTGCCAACAGGCTTCCCTCACTGAAGGTGCTGGGATCTTCCTCTTTACATTTCTGGCAAATTGCATTTTTATTGTTCCTGGCAAAAAGAAAGAAGAATGAAATAACAATCACTTGGTGGTGTGCTGTAGTTTAGGAGGTCTTTGTATACAGACACTGACACAAATGAAGCCATGGAAATTGTAACTTTCATTCAAAATCCATAGTCCTTGTTCAGTATCTTGATGTCAAAAACCACCCTGCTTTTCTATTCCTCATGACTAGGCCCATAAATCTTACCTGTATTTCACCAAAATAAGAGCAGCCTGGATCAGAAAAAAATAAATAGGGATGGAAACCTATTTATCTCATGCATTATGCAAAAACACCACACAGAAAAGGTAACACGAAAACAAAAGTCTTTTAAAACACAGAACACACCATTTTCCTCAGGCTTGACTTTACAAAGAGATCATAAAACCAGTGCAGAACTGAGTTCTATAGTTAACACCCTGCTGCAGCTAAAAAGGTTTCAATCTACTCTCAAAATATTTACCACAGAGTTTCATATAGGAAAGGCAAAAATACAAATTTACTAGAGATGTATTTCAATGGCAGTGTTATTTAGCATCCAGCTAATAATGAACTAACACAGACCAAGAAGCTCATCACAAAAGCACCCATCTGAACAGAGCACAACTGCTTTCAAACTGCACTCATTAGTTTCTTTGAGCCAGTTTCCCACTTGTGCTGTAAGACTAGGGGAAAGATATAACAATTCTAGTTCTGTTCTGCTGACAGTCTTTGGAGTTTATGGTTTTTGCTGCTTCATTAAGGAGCTTTGTCCTAGATTTACAGTAATGGATTTACATAAGTTGGTCAAATACATTAATTTGAGCACATTTTTACATTATTACATGTTGACTTTTAAATGACAACGTGGACAGTGCATTGGCTCAGCTTTTCAGGTGCCCCACGCTGTGACCAGAGCTGGGACTGCATGAATTGGCAAACACAAACAGCTTACTAACAGCATCCCTGAGGAAGCACAGTAACAGGCCTTACACTTACTTAGCCAGTCACTGAATCTTGACAGCTGCTGTTTTCCAATACATCAAAGCTGAAGTCGGCTCAAATTAATGGAATTGCACTGCAATTTCAGGCAGACATAGCCTTTTCCATAGGATTTAGATCAAGGTGTAATTGTGCGAGAAAAGGGAGGATAGAAGCAGCTAATCAAACAAAGCAAATCCCCACCCAGCTCCTGGTCTTCAGGTTGTCCTGGACATTAGCTGTCATTGGTTGTCACTAATGGCAGCAGCACCTTAACATGTACTGACCCCTGAGTTACTACAAATCAAACTCCAAGATAATGTTTATTAAAATCCTATAACATCACTTATCAAAGGACTGTAAAGTCCCATGGAAGTAGTAACTCAGCTTTGTATGAGTTCTTCAACTCATACAAAGTTCTTCAACTCATTTAACTTCAAGGTTAAATCAGAATCATTCTCCCACACAGGCAGAAAAAGTGACATCTGCAAGCCCAGTAATCCAGCCTTCCCCACACTTCCCTATTGCAAGGAAGAAGGAGACAGAGAGTACCCTGCAGTCCACTGCAGGTAAGTACTTCCAGACAGTGAAATGACTGGAGGCCAGGTAGCCATAGTCAACCAAGCACAAAACAGCTCTCAGGAGCACTTTTAGCCATGGTAGAGTGCCCCAAGGACCTACCGTGCAATCCAGGTGAGGCAGGCTGAGCAGTACCTGTGCCCACAGAGCATCTGCAGGGCCTTCTTCAGAATGTTATTGCAGTTGCTGCACAGGTACTTCTGATCAGGCACATCCTCACAAATGTTAGTGGGGTATCCAAAAGGAAACTCATTTTCATCAGGAGATGAGCCAGGGACATCCTGCAGGTCTCTGGTTGTTTTCTCAGCCATCTGAGGTAAACTACTGTCAGAGGGAAGGAAAAAAATGGGTGTTCAAACACGCAGACACAAGCTCACTTTGCTGTGTGAGAATATATAACAGCTCCAAACCTGTGCTGCAATCTAGTGACCTGTTTAATTGAGTCTGCTGCTGACATGCGTGACTAAATGTCACAGTGGGGTTTGAATAGGTACCAGCAGGAAATTACTGTACAGACTTAAAATTTCCCTCAAACACAACATGAAAATGGACAGCGTATTAAAATGAAGGGTTGGGGTTTTCTTTCCAGAGTTTCTGAGCTTGTAGAAAGATGAAGTAAATACAGCCATCATCTCAGAGCAACAATCCCATCAGTCCACGTCACACAGAAGTGTTTCCTGTAGAGTAAATCCCCAACCACCTCCAATTCCCAGCAGCCTAAATTTGTGATCACACTTCACAGATTCAGAAACTGAGCAAATGAGTTCACGGTGACTTTTCTGAAGTCATATAACTAGTGGTGAAGCAAAAGAAGAAATCTCAAGTTCACTTAGATCTTAACACTTGTGCTCTTACCAGATATACCTCGAGCCACACGTCACATGAAATATTTTTGGAAATGCAACCAAAACTGATCCCAGTCTCTTCACAATCGCGTGGTAAGTCCAAGAAAGGATTTTGCCCAAGGACCTGAAGCAGTTTGGTCATAATAATGCTTTTATAACTCTATTTTTTTCCCTATAGCAGTACTGACACACAATAACCTACCTCAGAATTATCAAAAGTAATATTGACTGACAGGTGTCTACAAAAGGATGCAGCAAGTCTGCCTGCACGGGGCCAGGCAGAGCTGCAGCGGTGGGTAGGACATACCCTGCATTTAAAACACTCTTTTTTGAGCAAACAGCATTTTCTGTAACCTGGCTCAGGCAATTCCCTTGGGCTCTCCAGGCATTTGATGGGGAGCTTCCCAGTCTGCCAAGAACCCTAAACCCAGCAACACCAAATGTGCACCTGCAAGTTAAGGAAGCTGTCATGGGCTGGTACCCAGGTGAGGATGAGGCAGACGGGCCGCCCCCGGAGCACACCGCGGGTGGATCATACCGATACTGCCCGGTAAAGTGGCAACGGAGGGCAGGGAGCGGCTCCGGCGGCCCCTTCCCGGAGGGCACCTTCCGTCCGCACCGCTG